TGTAGCCTGACCCCCTGCCACAGGCAGGAATGAATGCCGGGTTCACAAGACCCCAGACAGGTGATCATCCAACTTCCTCTGGAATATGTCCACGGTAGGGACAAGGACCACTTCCCTGGGAAGTTGGTTCCAGATTTTGGCCACCCTAACTGTAAAATATTGCCTTCTGATCTCTAACCTACACCTATTCTCCATCAGCTTATTACCATTGTTCCTCATCACCCCAGGTGGTGCTGGGTAGAAAAGGGCTCTGCCTATTTGCTGTTCATTCTCCCTGATGAGCTTGTAGGCAGCCACCAGGTCCACCCTCAGCCTCCTCTTGCTGAGGCTGAACAGGTTCAGGTCCTTCAGTCTCTCCTCGTAGGGCCTGTCCTGCTGCCCTCTGACCAAGTGGGTGGCCCTCCTCTGAACCCTCTCCAGGCTGGCCACATCCCTTTTGAAGTGCGGTGCCCACTGCTGGACGCAGTACTCCAACTGCGGCCTGACCAAAGTCACATAGTGGGGGAGCATCACCTCTCTTGACCGGCTTGAGATGGACCTGTGGATGCATGACAACGTCTGGTTGGCCTTGCTGGCTGCGGTCTGGCATTGGCGGCTCATGTTGATCTTGGAGTCAATAATGACTCCAAGATCCCTTGCCGCCTGTGTGCTTTCAAGAGGAGAACTCCCCAGCCTGTGTGTGTGCTGTGGATTCCTTCTCCCCAGGTGCAGCACCCTGCATTTGTCTGCATTGAACCCCATCCTATTCTCCTCTGCCCATTTTTGTAGTCTGTCTAAATCTAGTTGCAGCCTCTCTCTCTCCCTTCAAGTGTGTCCACCTCGCCCCACACCTTAGTGTCATCAGCAAACTTGGACAGTGTGCTGTCACGGCAGAGTCCTTCAGGAGGACCATGATCTCCTTAAGGCCCCTTCCTCCGTGCCAAGTTGGCCCAAGCGCACCCTCTGATTCTCGCCTGCCACGTCTTTGATGTTAAGATAAGTTTGTAAGGCTTCTTTACGCCCTCTTGGTCACTTCTTGGTGTTGGTTCAGACCCTGTGTTTTCCCCGACTTCTTTATGGGTTCTCACTCTATGATGGGTGCTTCAGGGGCACGCTGCCCTTATGGGCTATGCGTGGCTCCAACCACCCCTTATACAATGCCCCAAGCCTCACAGTTGGGATAGATGTTGTTTGGTCTCAGTCTACAATTTCTCTGGCGCTCGGGCCCTTGGTGGCCCTGTCTCTCCGCGCCCTCTCTCTGGGGCCTTTTCCACAATGTTGCCCCTCTTCAGTTTTGCTGCCCTCCTCTGGGACTTTCACTATCACGCAGCCCTTTCTCTGGGGGCTCATCTGCAGTGCAGCCCCTCTCTCTGGGCTCATCTCTGCAGTGCTGCCCCTCTCTCTGGGCTCGCTGTACCCACTCTGGGCCTCCTCGGTAAAGCCGCCCCACTCCTGGGGCTCTCTGTGCCCACTCTGGTCTTCCTCGGTCAAGCCGCCCTGTCTCTCAGGCTCACCGCAGTGCCACGCCCTTCTCCGGGGCTCACCGCAGTGCCACATCCTTCCTCAGGGGCTCACCACACCCGCACTTGGGCTTCTCAACCGCCCCTCTCTGGGGCTGGGGTCTATGCATCCCGCACGCTTAGCCCTTACTGGCGCTGGGATTCCCATGCTACTGTGGGTGCCATATGAAGCCTCCTCCAACCCCTAATAGCCTCACCCAAACCACCGGTGTAACAACAAAGCAAAACACGAACTCAAGCCTCTTGGCCGTAAAATAAACATAAGCCGCCTGGCTATAACAACATTGCTCAAGCATCTTAGAGCTGCCGTTCTTTCTCCACTTAAGCTATACCTGTAGTCAGGCTTCCTCCCGCCTGCTGGCTTAGTGAGCACCTGCCTCTCTGGCTGCTAGCAGAGAACTGCCCTGGGCTTTATATAGGAGCCAGGCCCTGCCCCTTGCAGTCAGCTGACCTCCTGGTTGCCCTGGCGACCCACAGCTGTGCTCCTTATTCCCTGCTAGGGCTTTTTCCACGGCAGTTTCCCCTCTCTAGGAGCAGGGCACCTCAGTGCTCTGCGACACGTGCATTCCACCCCCTCGTCCAAGTTGCTGATGAAGATGTTAAACAGTGCGGGCCCGAGGACCAAGCCCTGGGGGACCCCACTGCTCACATCTCGCCAGGGTGAGTACAACCCATCCACCACTACTCTCTGGGTGCGCCCCATCAGCCAGTTTTTTACCCATCCAACTGTGCAGGCATCAATGCCGCAGTCACTTAATTCATTGATGAGGATGGGGTGAGAGAGTGTCAAAGGCCTTCTTAAAGTCTAGAAAGACTATGTCCACAGTGACACCATCATCCAAGAATTTAGTTACTTGGTCGTAAAAGGCAATCAGGCTGGTCTGGCAGGACCTGCCTTTGGTGAACTCATGCTGATTGCCCCTGAGTATGATCTCCCCTGCAGGCCCCCCACAGACGTGCTCCTTGATGATCCCCTCCAATAATTTCCTTGATGATCCCCTCCAATAATTTCATGAGCACCGAGATGAGGCTTAACGGCCTATAGTTACTCAGATCCTCCTTCCTCCCCTTCTTGAAAATTGGGACCACATTAGCCAGTTTCCAATCCCCCAGCACCTGGCCAGATGACCTCAGATGCTCATCTAGCTGGGCCAAAGGCTCCGCGATGACCCCTGCCAGCTCCCTCAACACCCTTGGGTGGAGGGGATGTGGACCTGCAGATTTAAAAATGTCTGGCCCTTCCAGAAGATCCCTAACTATGTCTGCATTGACTGAAGGCTTGATAGAGCTATCCCCAAGGTTGTCCCTACATCTGGTAGGTGGGATATCCCGGTCCCTGTTCAGGAAAAGAGAGGCAAAGAAACTGTTAAAAATATCAGCTTTCTTGTCTGGCTTGGCCACCAGATTACCATTTGTGTCTTCCAGGGGCCCTACATTGCCTGGTGCCCTCTTCTTGCTCCCAATGTACTGGAAAAAGGACTTTTTGTTGTCCTTAATCCTGGACGCTAGCCTGAGCTCCATCTCTGCCTTGGCCTTCCTAATAGCCCTCCTGCACTCCTGGGCTGAGGAGGAGTACTCCTTCTTGGTGACAGTACCTCCCTTCCACTGGTTGTACACCTCCCTTTTAGTCCTCAGGCATTGCTGAATTCCCTTGCTGAGCCCAGGGGGTTTCTGAGCGCTCTTACCCTACTTGCTTCTCTCAGGGACTGTTATCCTTTGGGCCTGGAGGATTGCCCCCCTAAGGTATGCCCATCCCTCATGGGCTCCCATCTCTTCTACCTTCTGGGCCTTTAGTGCCTCCCCCACTAGTCTGCTAAGCTCCTTGAAGTTGTTGGATATTTGAAGTATTTTCTTACTAGAAGGGTAGTAAAACACTGGAATAGGTTACCCCGAGAGGTAGGTGGTGGAAGCTTTATCCTTGGAAG